AATTTACGTTAATTAATAATTTTATTTCTTTTTCAGAAACCAAATGAAATTATGTGTTTGTTCACTTTTCTCTCCACGGTAAGTTTTATGCACAACTTTTCTTTTAACTGTGTACTCTTTAGTATTTAAGTTAAACTGTCTAAAACAGAAATCATTCATCCTGGTGTACAAAGTAGTCGGAAGTTCATGTGGGACACAATACGGTAATGAATGAGTGATGTCACGAGTACAAAATTAGTAATACATTTTATTAGCATCTCTGTATACGCTGATCGTGTGAACCAGTCTCCGTTAGAAAGTCCTTCTCGAAGGCATTTCTTTCCTTAATTGAATATTCCTTGCATACTTTGCTTTAATCCGTCAACCAACCAACTTCCTAGCATCCATTTGCAAATAATAATATTTGCGTACTGTTGTGACTTATCTCGCTTGTCTGGTAGTGACATCAGATGATGTCTGCGAATTCTGTTGTGACCTGTAGGCAAAAAAATGCTCCTTTTGTTAACTTTAGGCAGCTTATAGGTATCAGCGCGAATTTTCCTAGCATAGTCCCACTTTTGTAGGAGAAGCCCCCTGACTTAGGATCCAATGCTCTCTTTCTACTTTAGTCCCACGAGAGAACTTTCGGCTTGAAACATTTTAAGTGACATTATGTTGCAGAAACATTATACACTTAAAACATCCTTGCCTAACTCGGGATTCGAATTCAAGCCGAAGGCTGTGTCAGCCGACTCTGTTATCATAAAATGAGGGCATTTAATGATGTTTAATGAATATTATTGGTTTATTTAAAAGAAGTCAAAACAGGCTGACAAAATTTAAAAGAAGTAAAAAAATCGTAGACAGTCATCTTATTAAAATTGTTATCAATCTTCCCATTGATTTTATAATCGAAGATATGCATAATTTACATTCCTCCTCTGCGATTTAGAAATGGCGGAGGGGGAGGAATATGGAATTAGAGAGCTTTGAAATTATTTCTACTTTGTATGGTATGGCAAAGCAGGCGGTTCGTGGAGGAAAATAGCATTTACGTGAATTTTCTGTAACTTTTTTTTTTTTTTTTTTTTTTTTAAGTTTTGAATGTAAATCGATACGCTGTTGGCTCACATTATTCTACTGCATTTTAATTCCATTATTGTACTTTTTATCTGTAGTTCTAGCCTAATCATTAAACTGATAGGAGTTATGAAGCGTACTATTCATGTACATGCACTCCCAAGAGTTCGCGAGCAGTAAAAGTTTGAAAACAATTAATTTACAGCATTTACTTTTCGCGAAATTTCTATTTGAATAATATCTTACTCGTATGTGTGTCATGCACATGGAGTAATATTTTTAATTTAAACCAAAATGATTTTTTATTTAATTTTATTTTTGTGAGAATAAAAGCAAAGCATAAGTTCTGTGCTTAGTACAGGGTGGGGCAACGGGCCACTTTTATTTCCCCCATTCTATATAAAGTCTTTATGCATTGCAATTTTAGCAAGTGGAATTTGCATCGTTATTTTTTTTTTTTTTAAATATCTTTTGTAAAATTGGAAGTGTTTTGCCCCCTAACGTGAATACGGACCAAATCACCTGAAAACGTCATCCACTGAAGGCTCTTTCCAATCCCACTTTCTATAATCTATCCATAAAATTTCAGATATGCTTCACTGTTCACCAACGCAGGATAATACAGGAAATTCATACATAAACATTGATTCCAGTGAGATTTAATAATAGCTAATAGCATGATACTGATCGAAAGCGTTATAATCATAGTCTCTGAACAAATATTTTGCATGTTGTATGATTTTATACTGCATTCTTATATTAAAATAAGCTATAAAGACTAAAATAATATAGGGTTAGGTTATCTGAAGCATATTAGATCTATATATATATATCACCAGTTCCTCCGTTGAGGACTTTTGAGATACGCTGACTCATATTTGTCTTTAGACTCACAGAAAATTTAGGCGGCCAGCCCTCGCCAGGAATAGAGCTACCTGTATTTACGAACTTAATGGCTGAACACCCTGAACTTTTTATGCAGAAATTCCGTTTTCTATACTGTTCATGAGCAAATGCATTTACTATTATACTTTTGTTCATAAGCCAACACATTTACTATACTGTATTTATTGATACAGTATTTATTGATAGCGAAGTTCACACCTTTAGTATCCAAGATAAATTGCCTGTTTATCAGTATCTGCATCAATAGATAATTTAAACTGCATGATTATCAATAGATGATATAAACTGTATGATTGTCATATTTATTATTAAGAACAATGGTTTTGTTTTATGTTAGTGATCTTTTATAGATGCCTCGACTTAGAATGGTGATCATGCATAGACTGACATATTCCTTCGTCACTGAATCCAGGTTCCAAACGTGGATGTTTCTAATGTCTTTGCGACGTGAGGATACTTAAAATCTGTCGAGCCTTAAGTCCTATCGAGATCTTGCTGGTAGGGAAAGAGTGATATAGGATCATGGGGTAATATCTACCTGGCGAACTCTTAGTCAAAATTGGGATGGAGTTGAGGCAGGTAGCCCTCCTGTACTTTGCCTAGATCAAATAATACAATTTAATTCATATGATACATTATAACAATGATCGTAAGTAACACCTTTTTTATTGCTGTACTAAAACATATTGCTGTTTGTTTAGTTAGCAACATTTTTTACATATTACTAATATTTACATCAAAAATGAAAATTTGTATAATAAAATTATATTTTACGGTTGTAATTAATAAGTAAACTATAGTAATTGAACATATTTCATGCAATCATAATATACCATAATTTTTGTTTAATTTTCCGGTTATCTAAAAAACTGATATTCATTTAGAAACACTGTTTCTAAAATAAGCAGTACTTTTTTATATAATTCTAAGGTTATTAAAAAATATATTAAAGCATGTTTCGATGGCTATGTATTTAATAGAAACTGATATTTTTTACTCTTCTACATACTTCTATTCAGCTTATTCTATCGAGCTGAAACAAATTATTATATTTGATGGAATGACCCCCGGTGAAATTTCCCTAATAAAAAAAGAACAGTTGCAAATCCCTGAAGTCCTACCTAGCAGCTGCTGAATTTAGTGAAGCGCTCAATCGGAAAAATATAAGGTCGCGGTTTTTGGCAGCTTGTCTTCGGCACATCTTTCTCCTACCTCTACCTGAAACTGTGCTACTAACCAAGCCACCACTATCTGCGAATAAGGTTGTCTTACACACTGTTGGTTATTACGCGAAATATTTCAAGCGTGAAGATTGATATTAAGACGAGCAGCGTGGCAACCACTTTCACTTTCGGGCTGCCAGTTTTAGAACCAGAAAAGTGCTACAACTGGCTGGCTTATCGCATTGTTGGGCCATTAAATTGAGATTACAGAGTTTTCAACAACTGATAACGGGATTTTTGCCTGAGGTGAATATCATCATTGCCTTTTTATTTTACATTTTGAAAATGGTATATTATGTTCAATGATATGAACAAGGAAAAATATTTTACGTTTAAATTTTAGGTGTTGAAAATATTTCGTAACGATTAGAAATTTCTTTCGTAGTCTAGAATTGCGGTGTTCAATACGTAGCCGTTAAACATTTATGGTTAATTAAAACTTCTGGTGCCATTGCAAAGGATAATTTTTGTTTTTAATTAGATTTCCTAATAGTTATATTCACATCAGAAAAGTGTTTTCCAGTACACACATTTGAAATTTTTATTGTTTGAAAGTTGTATCTCTTTACATATTGAATTTGTTGTTTTCTTTTCCTCGTAATGAATAGTAATTTGTACTGAAACCGCAGCTTCAGTCTCGTGTACTATGCAATCATTCATGTATTTCTATTCTAGTCAGAAAACTTTTTCAGCAGTGAGATATAAAGTAATTACAAAAACGATCTGAAGACAGAATATAGCTTCAATTTTGAAGAAACATGATATGCAATGTAGAATTAACTGAGCCTTTATACTGCTTAATCTGGGCAAGCTTAATTATTAATTTTGGTGAGGGGGGATAAATCAGTATTGAAAACGCTTATTAAGGAAAATTGATTAAGTTATTTAATTGGATTGTCAGGAAAGTGTTATCTCTCTCTCTCTCTCTCTATATATATATATATATATATTCGTGTTCACAAAGTACACTACGAGGCTTGCACAAGTAAGTTATAGCACTGACAAAATTAATAAACATATGTATAGTAGCTCTGCAGATAGGAAAGAAGAAGAAGATTTACAAGAAAAAGTAAAGTAAAAAAAAGTAATAAAATAAAGAGATCTCAGTAATCTAAATTGAGAATGAAATTCCGAAAAGCAGAAATTGTCTCTTTAGAAAAAATTGGTGTCCAAGATACAAACAGGTGCTTCAGAATTGCCTAAAGTATCTACCTCTGCTGGACATGATGAATGCACTCTAAGAAAAATATGCTTAACATCATCGCCGCTACTGCAATTGGCACAAAGCACTTAACGCCCACCAGCGGCCGAGTGGTGAAGTCGTTGAATACTGATAGTTCAGTACGGCGAATCTCGGCGAAAGGGTTGGCTGCATGAGCGGCTTTCGTAGTTTTTCTTACGTGTCACGTGTATACGATCCAGTTTCACTTAGAAAGTCACCAAGAAAGAACCATATTTCCGTTAGGTATATAGCCCTCGCGTGCTTTAAACCGTAGTCAAATAAACCAAACCAAACCGAAGCACCTTGAAGTAAGTTCAGATCGCTTTAAATAGCACTTAAAATTGTCTCGTTTATAGAAAAATTGAATTAATTTAAAATTTGTTCAAAATTTATCTGCTTTAATTCTGTGAAGAACTCTACGTTAAGACCTTTTGATCCATTGCGCTTTTGTTGAGGTCAGATATTCCCTGTTCCAAATAAAGATAGCGCTTCCAGTGAGAAATAGGAACGCGGAGATTTAAATCAATGTGATGTTTTTGTGGCCAGCTTTCCTAGAGCATCAGCACTCTCATTTCCAAAATTTCCACTGTGTCCACGAACGTGAGCTGAATGAATGTCGATATCAAGATCTAGCAAGGTCTTGATAATAATCTGAATTTCAACAGCAAATTTATCTGAAAACGTTATATTTCTATAAAAATTATAGCGAAGAATGAGAATCATTACGTATTAAAACGCGCATTGATCTCAAACTACTACAAGAATTCTGAATGCATTTTACAGCAAGGTATAAGCATAGTAACCCAGTCTGAAAAACAGATCTATATGTGGAACAGCTTTGATGTGAGAATCAACATTTTCGCTTATTAAATTTATTAAATCGTGAAATTTATCGATATACTATTAATAATGAAAATTGTGTTCTGCAGTAAGTGTAAATCAACATCAGAAGAAATAATCAAAAGCAAAAGTTGAAGATATCTGATTAAATCTCCCATCCCACCCAACAGAATGATAAAACCTTAAAATCATATTTTTATATTAACTGAGATTATTGTTCAAAAGATTTGTTTATAATGGCTAATTCCTAATTATTGACAGTATTATACCCATGCTCATAGAAGAATGCAAAATAATGAAACATGAAATTAAATTATTTCATTTCTATTGATATTTTAAATAGCTGTCATTAATTTTGACTATACATGGCTGCATTATATTTCTGTTCGCCAGTGCTTATTAAAAATTTCAAAAGAAATATATTTTTATTTTTAATAAATATGCATTCTAGGGTATTTGCGATGTATAATAAATTAATTCTTTTTTATTTCAGAGTGAAGACCAGATTATAAGATATCTTTCCTTAATAATCTCTTTCCGGCGATCTTAAACCAACCAGTCTTGTATGTTCAGCCTAACATTTATAAAATGTATTAAAATAATTAGTCGTGTATTCCTTAGGAAAGATATTGACGTTGTTTATTGCAATAGGCTAATAAACTTTCGTAAACTCCCATTTTTAAACTAAAGTGGCGTTCAAAAAAAGTAATGATACCTAACCGCATGCAATTATTACGTCATGGAGTAAAAGTGGGAGCAATTACGGGAATGTGCAAGAGTCCATCGTATGAATAAAATCCTTGTAAACATGTTTACTTTTTTGTGTCTCCCGGAAAGTTTATTTATTTGTTTTTGTAAATGCGAACAAACAGCGATATTTGCTTTGTTTCCTTTCAACAACATTTGAGACAGAATTAAGCAAAATCGTGGCCCTGTAGGACATGTAGAAAAGAGCAGAGCATATTCAAAGGTTAATTACAAATTTATTTCTCACGTTAGACAGCAACACTGTCTCACAACAATCACGCAAGATTTTCATGCGGTATTAGCAGTTCGCTTTTCTTGCTTTCTAAAGGCTCGCGAGAGCATTTCTAAGATGGCTTTTCGGTAGGAAAAGGCATTCTATGGGCACTGTTTTGAATGTATCCTATTTGTGACTGTAGTGTAGCGTAATTGTTCCGATTTAAACAGCACGCAACTGTGTGACTCGTCAAAAATCAAACATTCAACCTGCATCCTTTTCCCTTCCTGAATCAATTATGACTGATGACGCATTTCTAAAAGTGATGGAAAGTTGGTAGTTACTCCAACTGGATACCCACTGCAGCAGTTAGATTCTGAAACTGACCAGAGTTGGGCCATCATTTTCATAGAAGTGATCGGAGATGCTCCAGGTGGAGATAATAATAAGTCGGCCACTCCATTCGCCGGATCTGACAACATGCAATTTCTTGAAATTTGTTAAAGACGCATTATTTACATACCACCTCTGCGCAAGTTCATCCAGAAATTTCGTGATGGCATCCATGCAGTGCAGACCATTGCAACAGATATGTGATGCATTGAGTGTGGGATGATTTTGTTTCGCATCAGGTGTGATGACCTTGGTGACCCTTATTAGAGGATTATAACCAAAGTATGAGGAAACAGGTACCGCTGCTCATAGCATATACGTTATGCCCCTGTAAGGTGAAAAACAAAATTTTCATTAACTTTTGAAATATCGTCACTCTGCGCATATCTTGCAAATGATTTATTTATCCGTCTTATGGAAACCGTCAACGTATCAGGGTCATATATAAAACAGAATTTTAGGTGCAGTCTTTTTAACTAACTAGTATAACTAATTTTAAAATCCAGGGTCCAGTTTTCCTGTGTGCGTATATTTTTGTTTTAAAAATAAATTTTATTAGAAAACATTTTAAATATACAAACCTGAGCGGGCAGGAAAAACAATTTCTTATCTAGACCTGCTTCCAAAGGGAAAAAACTGTTAACTATTGGCTGAATGAATAAGGCTGTTAAGACTGATACTTCAGATTCGTTTTAGTTTCTGCCATTTACCGGCCTAACAGTACTAAACTTTTGAGAAAGCGAGCAGCTTTCCCCTAATATCTTTTGTGGTAGTTTCTCTAATAAGTCTCGACTGCTTTGAGATACTAAGTAACTTATCGTAATTCAAGCAAAGTTTATCGATAGGTGAGTTGAGTTCGGCCATAAGCTTATCAGCTTAGATTTATTTAGCAATGTTTATTAAGTGCTGGTACTTCATCCGAGATCTAAATTCCATCTATATTAGCACCAAAAGTTTCAGGCTACCTAAGTCTTAACATGAATGAGCTATTTAAATTTTGATTTTTTTTTAATTTAAAAAAAAGGTACAATCGTCCTTGGGCTTTACGACAAACTAAAGTTGTTTTCTTGTCTAGTTTTTAAATTTTACACTTTTGTGTTCCTCTTTCGATTTGTGAATGAGCTTCTTTCCTTCAGGAATTTAAGGCCCGCCAGCTGCGGATCGGTAAAATCATTCAACACTGGTAGTTCGACACACATTAAAATCCGAGCGAACGAGCTGGATGCTAACTTTTCTCCGAACTTACCGTGATACTAGCCAGTTTCTCTTGAAATGTTCCCCCATGAAGGTATTACTCCCCATTTGTAGTTTAGTGCTTTGCCATACCATATACCCGTATAATACCTAATCTATTTTACCCATATAATCCAATCCAGTTTCTGAAAATTTTAAAAATTTAATTTAAATTTAATTTCTGAAAATTTTAAAAATTTAGTACAAATACTTCTTTTCTGTAGCAGATAACCGTCTAATGCTTGGACGTAATAAAATTTACACTTTGTTTAATTTAAACGAAAAGATTATTTAATAGAATCAAATTATAACTTTACTGCAAAAGACACGCCAGATGCTTTAATTCAAGTATAAAAACACTGATATACTGAATTATACTACTAGTTAAAGTATTACATAATCTCAAATAAGTCCTTACAATACAGCTTGCGTAAGTACGAAGTTAAAAATGAGGATGACTTCAGTCCCATCTTTGATTAAAATCTTTGATCAGCTGTCTTTAACACTGTTTATGATAAATATTTTTTTAATATCGCAGAATTGCGTATGATTTTCTTTCATGGCTGTGAATAAAAGTCGAAAAGTCGGATAGTGTTCTAAAGTGTGATTAAGTCATTAACCCTCTGTTCCCAAGAAAGATTTTTGTAATTTTCTTGACGAGCGACGCATGAAATTAAAGACTTAACTTTGCATTTTTACACAAAGCTGCTTAAATTTTGCTGGAGCAAAATAATGCAATGCTTAACTGGATCGATATACCTAAAATCCTTGTTAATTTTTAGCGTTAAAACATAGATAGTGGATTAAATAAAAGTTTGCTTGCAAATATTTAAGAAACAGATGAGCTTGCTCAAAGCTCTCCTCAGATTATAACTGACTTCTCTGAATACACATTATGTTGTGTAAAAGTGGGTTTTGGATCTTACTGTTTGATATGAATAAATTACACCTAATGCACTTGCCTATACTGTGCCAGTTTAATATTTTACTCAAAAGATCAGATTAAATTTGAATGAGGCAAAAGTTTTGATTGATATATTATAGTTGTAAGTATGCTTTTTCATATTTTGTATTTAGAATATAATACGTATATTATTCTAGTATGAAATATTTACTATTTTTGCACTTTTTATGCATGAATATTTCCTATTTTTTCCCCGCAAAATGATATTATATCCCTAATTGTTATATTCATTACCTTTATGCCTTAAATGAAAGTATGAAAGCATCTTTGAAGTATGTTCTTTCTATTATATTCATTAGTTCATTTCTTTGTAAAGATCGTATATATTAAATTTTGGTTATATACTAAGAGTTGAAGAACGAATAGTCGAAAAGAGGGGTACTTATATATTTACTGAGCATGAGTTTAAATTTAAATGTGTTGCTTAACAAATTACTTTTCTGTACTCCAACTTTTACAAGCAGGATACCTAAAATGGAGTAACTGTAATAGTTTTAATGGGAAGTTCGAATCTCAAAATAATATTTACAAATCCTGAGTTATTGTTCAGGACTTCCTTCCCCTTTAAGAAAGTGTCATTGTAGTATAATTTCGGATAGAGAAAGGGAAGAATTTGAACAATGCTTTTTAAATTGTTCTGCTTTTTAACAGTTTTTATTTTAGCAGTTTTTTAGGCCTGTATTTTAGAAACGTCTCTAATGCAGTCTTTAAAATGCTGCGTTATGCTACTATGCATATATCATCCAGTCGCGGGCCCACCAGCGGCCGAGCGATAAAGTCGCTGAACACTGGTAGTTCGGTCCGAGGATCGAATCCCGCGAACTGGCTGGCTGCATGGACGTTTTCGTGGTTTTCCCCATGTGTAACGTGTATACGAGCCAGTTTCCCTTAGAACGTCCTCCACGAAGGCATCCCTCCCCTTAGTCAGATAGCCCTGATGTGCTTTGCCATAATTAAGTCAACCAAACCAAACCAATCATCCAGTCGCATTCGCAAATAATACCATTTCGCGAAACTAGGTCTTTTTATTGCATACAGCCGCTTAAGTAAACAATTCAGAGAGACAGACATTGGCAGAATATATGATTTCTAATTTACCTTTCAAATTAACAAATCGAATGATTTAAAGGCATTTTTAATAATTAATATTTAAGAAATCAAGATGCTTTTATGGTAGGTATTTTTCAATACCTGGTGCAAGATCATTTTTTATTTTTTACCATTTTTCTCATTTTTACAATTTAAAAATCCTACTGATCTTAAATTCGATTACAGCTTTTTTTTTTTTTTTTTTTTTTTTTTTTATTTGCCATTAAAAAATCTTCCTGTGGTTCGAAGTAATACGGTAATTTAAGTGTTTTTGTTTCTTAATAACATATTTAGTTTATATAAATTAAAATACATTTTAATTTGTATGTAACCAAATGTGCTGTATTACTTAATAATGAAGAATATGTATGTTTGCATGCATGTATGTATTTTCCTCCCATTATGAAAAACCGTGTCTTCTAGTGCCACCAAATGTGAACACACTTCCTGCCCAACTCGAACATCTACATGCTGACATCGGAACCGCTTCTGTCCTTAGAAATGCTAAAGCCTAAAATGGCTAGTGCCCTCCATTTAAAAGAAAAAAAAGCATATATGTACCTGTGAATTTACTTCTTGAATCTTATTTTCTTATCTGTAGTTGTGAATTCCAGTTCTTCATTTCTATTATTACTTTCTTATCTGAAGCTCTGAAATTCCAGTTCTTCATTTCTATTATTACTTTCTTATCTGAAGCTCTGAAATTCCAGTTCTTCATTTCTATTATTACTTTCTTACCTGTAGCTGTGAATTCCAGGTCTTCATTTCTGGTTTTATTAATTATTTGCTGTAACTGTGAATTTACTCAGCAAACCCATTATATGTTCACTTTTTCTTGAGCGGCTAGTTTTTATAAGCATTTATTTTTTTCCCTTAGAGTTTTACATTTATGAATGATTATATCATGAATAATGTGTTTTTATGTACTATCGTTTAGTAAAAGTGATGTATTTAATTATTCATGGAACTGTTATTATTATTAAATTATTATTTATTGATGAAATAGAACTCTATGAATCGCAGTTTTTTCTGTAAAAGTTATAACTGTTTTAGCTATGTTAGAGCTCAAAAAGTGCTTTGTAATCAAATACGTAAAATTTAATTACGTCTC